TCCCCGGACAAGCGAGCGGCTCCCATGCGGGGAAAGGATAAAAATTGCATCGCGACATGCGGGGGTGGACTCTCCATGAAAAATACCAGACAGCTTCTTTTTTTCTTCCCCGGACGGGAGATAGTGGCAGGGGACAAAGGGAGTGCGCGGCAATACCCTTCCCCTTCCTATACCCTCCCTTCACGGTGAATCGGCGTCTCGATACCGCGCGCCGCCGATAGATACCACTGAAGCCCGGAGGACACACAGAGAAATACAGCGGCCTTCTACCCCGAGACCGCGAGGTTTCCCCGAGTTCTATCTAATGGAGGTCGCCCAGCCTCTTCTCGTCGAGTTGTTCTGTAGGACCCTCGTGCTTGCGTCCGTTTATGGTTACTGCTACAGCAAGAATAGTAATTTTACCTAATGAAGCAGGAAGTTTCTGTCTTTCCAAGGTGAGAGGCGGGCCAATCACAGACTCGTATTGGTTATCGCATATCGCTCTTCCTTAAGCGGCATCAAGAGGTTCATGCTATCTGCGGGTCAAGGTCTGGCGTACGCCAAGATAGCACCCTCGATCCATGATAACCATAGAAAGTACGCTATCTTGAGCTCTGTCCTACTGCATCTTCATCACACGACATCACTTATAGAAACATAGATAGAACCAAGTAGTTGAGTATGCAAATGCATTGGCTTGCAGTCAAGGTATATTAAAAGCTGTCAACAGCATGCATAAACAAGGATAGTCCAGTGCTTTTTGCAGAGTCCCCTTCATGATAGGTGCGATAATAATGGTAAAGCTGTAATCCCAACGCCGAGTTTCTTCCAGGGTCTTGTATTCGACCACATACCATGAGTTTCATACAACATCTCAAACACTCAACTTCTACCGCAATCTATACAGATCTAAGCAGACTCTCTTACTACCTTGTCAACAGCCTTGGCAAAGTAGTCGACATTGTTGTCATTAAGGCCAGCCATGCTGATACGACCATTCTTGGTCATGTAAATGTGGAATTCTTCTCGGAGCTTCATCACTTGTGACTCGCTAAGACCAGTGAAACTGAACATGCCGATCTGATCCGTGATGTGGTTCCAGGCACCAGGGGTCTGGAGCTCCTCAAGCTTGGCTCGTAGAGTATCGCGCATGCTGATGATGCGGCCTGACATTGTGCGCAAGTTCTCTTCCCACTCGGCGAAGAGGTCGCGATCGTTGAGAACAGTGCTAACGATGCGAGCACCGTACAAAGGAGGGTTGGAAATCTCGGAGCGCTGGAGAATAGCTAATTGGGAGCCGATACGGGTGATAGTGTTTGAGGCATCACCGGCGGGGGCGGTAACGGCGTGGAAGCAGCCGGCACGCTCGCCGTAGAGACCAAAGTTCTTGGCGAAACTCTGGGCAACAACAAGCTCGAAGCCCTGCTCGACAAAGTATCGGATAGCCCAGGCATCGCGGACGAGATCACCAGAGGCAAAACCTTGGTAAGCAGTATCGAAGAAGGGGAAGTGGTTTCGCTCCTTCATGAGAGCAGCAATCTCAGTCCATTGCTCTTGGGTAGGGTCAACGCCAGTGGGGTTGTGTGCGCAAGCATGAAGAACGAAGACAGATCCCTCAGGAGCAGACTTGAGAGTCTGCTTGAAGCCCTCGAAATCAAGACCCTTGGTCTCCTTGTGGAAGTAAGGGTAGGTATCAATTGAGTGGCCGACGTTCTTGAAGATCTGGTGGTGGTTCGCCCAGGTGGGATTTGACAGGTAGACAGTGTGGTTGCCCTTGTAGAACCTGGCTAGGAAGAGAGCGCCCAAGTGCACGGCACCGGTACCAGAGATTGTCTGCAATGTCGTCGAGCGCTTCTCTGAGATGGCGGCGGAGTCAGCGCCAAAGACCAGCTCGGCGGCCTTGGATGTGAAACTGGCAATACCCGCGATCGGGGCATACTCGTGGTTGAGCTCAGGGTCGTTTCGGAGGATCTCATCAGCCTGTGACGCACGTGGGGTTAGCTCAAATTCCAAGACTCAAGTTTTGCACGCAGGTCGTGGCGGCGGGGCAGTTGGGGCATGTTGTGACGCATATTTGCATGAGAAGGATCCAGGCAGCGCATGGTAGAAAGCTGCTGACCCCATGACCCGAAAATCGCAATGATGGGAGGGTTATGAGGCAGACTGGAGCTTGAACGGATCCGCTTCGGAAGCGTCATCCGGGCAGGGGAACGCCTGAAGAGCAATGCGTTCGTGGAGCGCAATGCAAGTGAATGCGATCTGGGGTCTTGAGGTTTGAAAGGTTATGCGACTGAGGGGAAGATGGCCGGCAATGCCGTGAAGGGGGAAGCGCAGCGAGGTGTACAAGAGCATCATACCTTCTTAACGACCGGCAACACCCAGGGCTTTGCGTTCTCGTCTCTGTAAGCACCGATACCCTAAGCAACGAGAAAGTACAGGTTAGCAAGAGCAATCGTAGTTTGGAGAACCTTCGGATAAAAAGGTTGTGTTGGAAGGCTTCTACTTACAAGATCGATCTTGTTGGGGCTGTTGTCGGCCTTGTAAGCTCGTGCAAGACCAAAGAGAGGGTCTTCAGGAGCCTGGGGCACGACTTCGGCAGGGAAATTTGTAGTAGAAACCATTTTGGGCGAGATGTGACGAACGATGGAGTTGAGACGAGAGATGGAGGAAGATGAAGAAGAGGTCGGTGCCGTTTTATTATCAGTCGAGCTTGAGCTTGAGGTGCTGCTGCCAGACTGAGTCTGACGGGGTGTACTCAGTGACGGTGTCATAGTGGGCTGCGGCCCTGAGGATTTGCGATTTAGGGGGGTAAGGAAGTAAGGAAGAGGGGGCCTTTGGGGTCCTGCGGCGCCGTGTCCGGTGGTCTGGGTGGAACCAGGGGGGTGTGTCTCTTAAAGTTGAGGTCGGTGGACTGGACTTGTGGGTGAATGTGACAGAGCCTGAGCCCAGGTGAACTGAGGTGAGAGGCCCCTGTAGGAGTGTGCGTCTTTGGGGAAAACAAAAAAAGGTACCTAACAGCAACTTTTGTCAGTAAGTTACGGAACGCCAGTTATTAATAACAGAACTGTTTTGGGCAATAAATTGACGAGGAAATGTTTCAATTCGCCTCCGAAACGTCTCTCAACACTCTTCCCGTGTAAGAGACTCGGGACTCGAGACTGTCATTGCTGCGAGGTACTTGCTTGTCCCTTAGAGAGCCCAACGATTCTTATCTCAAGAACTCAGTGGTCTCTGTCTGGGCAAAAGCACTGAATATCCACACGGCCCCATGGCTATGACTGTTGCGTAAACCAGATTCTGGCCTGATGCAATTGGTCATGTACCCCCAGCTACTTCGCTGCAGGCGGGCAAATAGGGCGCCGTTATTCCGGACCACTGGAGCTCTCGGGGGAAGGGGCATGCCGCCCGATGCCAAACAGAGGTAGAAGGTGGGCTGAGCTCACCGGACAACTTTCGCGGTGGGCTCTTTTGCTGCTTGTTGATGCTATCGTTGCATGGGTAGAAGGGAAGGTTTGGTAGGTTCAGTACCATACAGGTACAGAACAGAACCGCAAACCGCTTGTGACTGTACTTGTGCTTGTGTTTCTCCCCAGGGGTGCGCCTGTGATTGACTGAGACTCGAGCTCAACTCGCGCGACCCCAACAGGGACAGGCCTAACGGACCAAGGGCAGGCAAACGTAGGAAACTTCCTCTTGCGTTTGTGAAGAAATTGACAACTCACCCTTGAAGCTGTTGTACCTTTGTGGTTCCTGGAGTTCTGTCGTCTTTTCTCAGACGATCCCAACGTGTAGCTGGTCTGTTTGAAGCTGTTTCGTATATAAACAGGCTTGGTATTCGATGCCTTAGCAGACGAGGATAACAGTCGAAGAATAATGGTCTGTGACGGTCGGACTCGAAAGCTTGCGCGGTTCAAATTGAGACGCAGCACGAATCTGCGATTGGATTGAATTTGCGGCAGTACAGCTGTCGAACTTGCGCAGAGATCGTGAAACAGTTGACAATGAAATCGTCAGTTGTAGAAAGTAGTGATCGGGCCTTTAAATTATGCTCGCTGCAGAATTTCAATAACTACGGTTATCTCCTCCTTGGATTGCGACAATCTAATCTTTTATGCTTTGTCCTCAAACAGGTATACCGAAATCACTTCCCGAGCTTGTGAAAAAGCTTGTGAAGCTCCATCCTCCATCACGTCAATATCAGAGCTCCCCGTTGTAATCACCTACCGATACCTAGGCCTGTGAGCGTCACCTCGGCTTCTTACAATCTAACGTCACGCGCGTAATGGAGCTGACCGACCAGCAACCGTAACCTCACCGAGGTATGTACTCTTTCGTACATTTTGTTGCTTGACTTGGCATGGGTGACGGTGGATTTAGATTACGGGGCTAGGCTGACGTAGTGCTGTCTTTATCCGTTCGAGTAACTGATCCCATGTTTGATTTTTGCGGAGAGAATCTGTAAACCTTTGAAACTGATATCAAGTTTCTCCCATATGGTTCACTTGTGGTCTGACCTGTGGTCCCTTGAGCTCACATGTTTGAATCTGATCTCAAATATCTCATCTCACATTACGGATGATAACTCTAATTAGTCCTCACAGGCTCACCGTTCCATAACTTACCATACCGTAACATGTAAATCCAAGTTTCATGACCAATCGACATTTTGCATCAAAGTCTCTTCAGTTTCTTCCCCGAACCCCTCCCCTACGTACTAACCAAGCCCAAGACTCCAAATGGATCCATTCCCCAGAAAAAAGGAACCCGGTTCATTCTTCCAGACCCCTTCGATTCACTTCCCTACCATTTTAGACAAGTTACAGCACGCATGCATTGCCGGTACAGTACCGGGTGGCTCTCGCGGCCCCGGACGCCCCGTTACCGTCCTGTCACGGGGAAGTAAAAAATCTTAGACAAAACATCACGAGGCTTTAGAATGCACCGTTGGGTAATAGCTGGTCCAGCGTCAGCGCCCTATTACATGCGTGCCTCCGACTTCGCCCGGCTAAAACGTAACATGATGGATTTGATTAGTCGTATGACTGACTCTGTAAATTGGAATGGTCTTTGCGATGTCTATGCGAGGTTCATCTCCCACTGAAATCTACATCTACTGTAAATCTTGAATTGCCCCTGAATCTTTAGTAGTTAGGCTTTGAGGGTCCCGGCGTTGGGCCCGGTTTACCCGCCAGCGTTATTGGGTGACAGAACATTCTGCATCGTATGTCTTTGCATTATCGAATGTTTGATCTTGCCAGAGCTGAAAGGCGAGGCCAAATGATTCAATGAGGAAATAGGTCTAATTTGAATCTTAGATACTATGAAAGATTGCCGGTGTGAGATGAAATCTCCTGATGTCGCCAGGATTGCCACGTCCATATTATGCAGAGTACCACTCAAGTACGACGGCCAACATATTGTAGTTTGAAATCGATACCACAAGGAAATTCCGTTCATTATCTTGAGACTCATACATGGCCTTTGCATCTGACCAGCCATACATATATTTATCTTTGGGTCCTTGCTCATATGGGGTTATCAATAAGGAATACATCAAAGTTTACGTTATCATTGCAAAACTCCTTCATTGCTTCGGTCGCCTGTTTTACTGGTCTATACAGTGACAAGCCCGTGGTCTCACTCTTCACAGCCAAAATCAGCTCAGTCTGAAGTGAGGATATGCTCCGATTCAAAGTGGTGTTTGTCTTCCGGCCAAGCATTTCACATGAGCTCATTGGGCACTACGAAGACGAACATAACAAGGCACGTATATGTGCTCCGTCTTCGACTATTTGCTTAGTATATAGCACAGAGATATAATATAGTTGGTGGCGGCTCCCGCACCCTCCCAGCTAGTAATGCCTAGGTGACAGTATGTCTGCACACCCTTTTATTCCTTTGCCAACTCAAAATACCAGATCCCAAAGCACAAGGAAAGCGCAGAGCCCACTTGCCGCAAAGAATGTATACTTTGCTGGACTTGCCCGCTGTGTCGCCTTTTTTAATTCCTTATTACCACCGCCCACGTTTTCCGTGGTTGCAAATGAGTCTGCTACCAGTTGATCTATATGCGCTGACTGTGTGGCAAGGTTGTTAACGAGAAGTGACTGCAGCTCAGCTATTTCTAGTAACGATTTCTCTGCAGTTCTGTCGTACGAGTGTTAGCTCATATGCATGAATAAACTTCCCTTCCCCATGGGGTGGCGCTTGCGCTTGGAACTCTAGTGTAGATACAACCAGGCAAAGGTGTGCCGATGGAGATCGAGAGGACATATGACACGTACCTGACTTTGTCCAAACTATTCTCGAAATGCTTCATCATGTCTTGGTTCCCTTGCTCAAACATCTGGATCTGTTCCTCTGTCAACCCCTGGCTCGGGAACTGACCGTCTTCGGACATAGGGATCGGTGCAGCAGGAGCTGTTTGGGAGTTTCGTCGGGCAGATGGAGGAAATTCCGCGAAATCTCCAGCAATGGTGGCGCCTGATCTTGAAAGCATGCTGCGGTTCTTCTCCAGCTCGCGCTTTAGACGTGTTTCCATCATTTCTTGTTGCGTTCGACAGCATAGCTCGAGTCGTTGCCGTAAAAACCAGAGAATACTGTCTCGATGAATTCCCAAATCTCGCGCCTTGGCTTCAGCTTCTGCATGCTCTTCTGTTTTGCTGCTGATTATACCGCCTGAAGCCCATGCTCCAAAAGCTCCTAGGCCTCCAAATTTCTTTCGGATTATAGCTGATTCAGTTTCACGCCTTAACTGTTCAGCCTCGTCGAGAGCACGAATGCCAGCATTCAACTCCCGAATCATCTGTTTCGCATTGGCGTCAACTTCTTCTCGGTCTCGATCCGTAAGCACACGAGCTTGTTCTTTTGCGGCTCGGTTATGTGTTTTTCGTGGCTGCGCAGTCGATAAATAAGCTTGTCGAACATCTTGAAGCTCTCGATGTAGGCTGGTAATATGCGAATTCTAGAGATACTAGTCAGCTTTGGGAGTGAGGACGAACCGAAGCGTATGGCTTACAATCCTATATGCCTCCTTTAAGAAACCATCGATAGCATCCAATGTGACACGTTTTCTTGTTTCCGGCGCATTTCGTTCCCGCAGGAGCTCATTGAAAGTGACCGTGACATCCATGGCGTGTACTGCGAATTGGTCCAGGACGAAGGTTTTCGCTGAAAGGATGAGCCGTTGGTGAACCCGAGTTTATCCACTTATGTGCTTTATGGCCGAGTGATTCCAGCTTTGTCTGAGCATTCAAGTCAAGCTCTCTCATCAATAACGGTCCAGGGTTGTTGTAGACACCATGGCTGCATTGGTATGAAGCTCTGACGCACTTCGAAGAAAGCTCCACGTGGCTTAGTCATCGAGCTCAAGCTCGAATGCCGAAGAAACCATGCTTCAGCTGTGATGCAACCTCTTTACCATTCTAGGCTATTTTACGGAGTACAATGATTTGCAATCAGTCAAAACTTACAGTGACCCTCTAATCCTCCACTCTTCGTGATCCTCTTATCAATGATCATCTCTCAACTTCCACACATTCAAGGTGCGCGATGGGCAGATCAGCTTGACTCGATTCAACCTCCGAAAGACTGGATGATACTCCATAACTATGAAGATATCAGTCCGTGTATGAAGGCCTTGGGTACCCTTTACGATCAAAGCTTTCTTGATTTAACGGCGAGGCCAACGAAATTGAGTATGAGACTCTCTTCGGGAGGTGGACCGGAGAGGAGCTCGGCATAAAGTGGGGACACGCCGGGCCGCCCGTGACGGTGAACCCAACTTTGACCGGTTTTTTACGGGAATAGAAGCCAAGAGTACCGGAAATAAAATTCTATCACCGATGGAGAATGTTCTCCGATCGCGGGCAAATTGTTAGGTAGTATTAAAAGACTTGTCTTCCAGTTCTCGGCGACTGTCTCATCATGTTTGTTGTATATTCTATCCTTCTGGTCAGCGAAGATGAAAGAGAGAAGCCAAAATCAGTCCTCTTCCAATACCGAAACCCCTCCGAGACATGACCACGACGATATCAGCATACAGAGCACCGAGTCGGAGACCCCTGAGGGCCTCGATAACCACAATACCGAGAAACTTGGCAGACCGCCACATAATGTATCAGCAACTCAAGCTGACGAGACGATAATGGGTGACCCCGAGAGCATGACCAGAGTGTCAAGCGGTCCAGCATACAGCGTTTTCTCAAAGAACACAAAAAGATGGATTCTAGCTTTGGTCACTGCAGCCAGCTTCGTCTCACCTATGACGGCCAACATATATTTCCCCGCTATTCCCCCTATAGCCCAAGATTTGAACATATCTGTGTCACTTGTCAACCTCACCTTGACGTCGTATATGATATTTCAGGGACTTTCCCCAACGATATTTGGCGACTTCGGTGACATGGCCGGGCGTCGACCTGCCTATATACTGGCCTTCCTGATTTATATATGTGCAAACATTGGTTTGGCCCTGCAACGTAACTTTGTTGCGCTACTGATCCTTCGTTGTGTTCAGAGTGCCGGCAGTAGCGGAACTCTCGCTCTTGGTTTTGCTGTGGTAGCTGATATTTCCTCAACAGCTGAAAGAGGAAAATACATGGGCATTGTTGGAGCCGGAATCAATGTTGGACCTGCTCTCGGACCAGTCCTGGGTGGTATTCTGAGCCAGTACCTTGGATGGCCAGCCATCTTCTGGTTTTGTGCCATCTTTTCTGGTGTCTGGATGGTCCCCTTTATCCTCTCTGCTCCCGAGACGTGCCGTAAAGTCGTTGGCAATGGCTCAATAGCACCACCGAAATGGAACAGGTCACTACTTGATCTCTACAGCAGCCGAGGAGATGTTACAAGCCAGAATACTCCGAAGCAGAAGTTGAAGTTTCCCAACCCATTGAAGACGCTTTACATCGTCTTTGAGAAAGAAATGGCCATTATTCTGTGTATTAATGCAGTCATTTATCTTGCGTTCATCTTAGTGGCGGCTACCCTATCAACACTCTTCAAAGAGACGTACGGCTATAACGATCTTCAGGTTGGTCTTTGCTATTTGCCTTATGGATTTGGCTGCGCGTTGGCCGTTGTCGGTCAAGGATACGTCTTGGACTGGAACTATCGACGAATTGCAAAAAAGATTGGCTTCACCATCAATCTTAAACGGGGAGATGATTTGGGCAAGTTCCCAATCGAGACTGCGCGAATCCAGCCGGTCTATCCGACGCTCCTCGCTGGTATCGCGACACTCATAGGGTATGGATGGGCTTTGCAAGTTGAAACTTCAGTTGCTGTCCCATTGTTCCTTGTCTTCCTTATCGGCATGTTTGTTCCAACCTCATTCAGTGTTCTCAATACCCTCATTGTTGATCTTAACCCACATGCTCCAGCTACTGCAACTGCGGCTAACAACCTTGTGCGATGTATGTTTGGAGCTGCAGCGACGGCCGCCATTGACCACATGATCGCAGGAATGGGTAGAGGGTGGTGTTTCACGTTTCTTGCTTTGCTAAACTTGGCCATGATCCCGGCTTTGAGACTTGTTGACAAGAAAGGCATGCAATGGAGGGCAGCTAAGGCAAAGCGAGAAGCAATGAATGCAGCATAGTTATGCAACTCCGATCAATTATCTAGTCATTTATCGTATCAATAGACAGGTTATAAAGCTGCCACAGCGAACTCAAGAGGCTCTCTTTGCGCCTCCCACATCAGCCAGTCGGATCGTGTTGTTCTAGACAGTGTCAGTAGTGTAAGAATGATGCATACGGAGATAAATCCTTACGGTAATAGACCCATGGCATTGATCTTCCAGATTCCGACACCAAGCGCAACCAGCTGGCATACCACATACACAAACTTGACCTGCAACAACTGGGAAGAAAGAGACTCTGACTGGAAGCGTTCGAAGGCCTGGTTCGTGTTCATCAAGCCCATCAAGGGGTTCTTGAATGCCATAAAGACCATCATGATACTGAAGATCTGGAGAGAGTTGCCCGACATGTACATCATGATGGCGGTCATGGGAAGACCTTTAACAGGAGCCAACGCGACTTCCCAGGCCTTCTTGAGCTTCAAGGTTTCCATCTCGGCGGTAGTCGGGGGCTTGCGGGGCTGAACCTTGACAGCATCCTTGCTCTTCTGCTTGCTGTGTTAGTCTTTGATTGTTATTCGATCGCGCGATAGAGAATTTGCGTGCCTTGGAGTTGGTGACGGTTGCTCCGGAGCTGAAGCCAGGAGGATCCTGAACACCAGATTGCTTGGACTTGGCAGTAGGAGGGCTCTCGAGTTGAGAGACCCAGATAGGGGAGGCAGATGGGCCAGCCATGGTATATCGCTCGTGCTATCGAAAGTCGTTGATAGAGATTGAAGGTATCGGATTGAAGTTGGCAGGCAAGGATGTTTAATAGTTGATGTTGGAAGCTCGTGGCGGCAACGTTGACGTGGATTGATTGGGTTAAGTTGATGACTGTAGCCCACCCCCATAGCGGGTGGCATATTCTACATGTGGCGTAGCTGTGGCAGCTGCAATTTCGGCTTAATTGCAACCCACTCACCCACTATCTTATCAGCACCTATTTGGCTTACATTACTCGAGTCTAGTGATCCCCTTTCCCAACTCCGACGCCGCCGATTCGAGACGTGAATGTTCAAAATACGATCACATACAAGTCGCAAACGAAATCCGAGGAAACCAGCGATTCATCTTCTTCCTCGAGTCCGAAGAAGCCTCGTAACGATAATCCACGATCGAGAAGCGACATCACATCGCCTTACAACCGTTTGGCATCTGGCGCACATGTGACCATCCCCTCCCATCTGCCATCCACCATCCACCCTCTACGACTTTCTTTGCGCTGGGCAACGCATCCCCGCCCAATTAGGTTGTGAATATCGAAAAGACGGCTGAAAATACTTGGAAGAACTCAAAGTGAGGGGCTGTCAGGCATAGGGCGACTATTCCACATTCAACGTTACCGAAACCCAGTCCTTGTCGCCATATAGTCTTTATTTGGGATACAAGTACAACACCATGTCGAGCTCCGCCGGTGGAGGGGACTCCAAATTGTTTGCTCGAGTAAGCCTTCCCGTCCTTCTATCATGTCTCAGCCTCGTAGGACCTGAGGTCTTATAAGTCCTTGAGCCTCCACTTCACTGAAACTCGACTTTGTGTCTCCTTTATCCCCTCCTGCTTTTGCGCAGACCTTGTTGCGCGAAGGCCTTCGTTGCATCAGATCATATTTCCTGTTCAATGTCACTATCGATACATGGTGTCGCAGCGCTGCGAACCATGTGATGGCCGCCATGTTTCTCGCATATATGCCCCCAAAATCATTTTATGATGGCCCGAGACTAAATAATATGCAGGGCAAAGTTGCCGAGCTACGCCTCGAGCTTAACAGTGGAGGGAAAAAAGACAAGGCCTATACAGGCAAGAAGATTGCTCTCAAGAAGATTGTCGCAAATATGACAATGAGTAATAATGACATGGTTGCCCTATTCCCCGACATCATTGGATGTATGGGTATCCAGAGTTTGGAAATTAAGAAGATGTGAGCATTTCGATATCCGGAACTCGATCAGAAGCTTATGTCAAATAGGTGTTTCTTGTTTCTGGTCAATTATGCAAGGATAAGACCTGAGATTGCCGTCAAGGCAATCCCTGTACTGGAACATGTCAGTTTGCCGAAAACCACTCTAGGAGCAGTACTGACAAAGTATAGGATATGGAAGACCACAATCCTTTGGTACGGGCCCTGGCTCTCCGAACAATGTCCTACATTCATGTCAGAGAGTTTGTTGAGGCTACTGTCCCAATAGTCAAGCATATGCTGAAGGACAATGACCCATATGTGCGAAAGACGGCTGCTTTCTGCGTCGCCAAACTTTACGACCATGACCGACATATGGTAGAGAACTCGGACCTCATTGATCGTTTGAACTCATTGCTACGGGATGACAACCCCACAGTTGTTGCAAGCGCTCTGGCTGGACTCATGGATATCTGGGAACGCAGTGACGCCATCAAACTTACCATTGACTATAGCAATGCCTCCAAGATGGTGGCCATTCTCCCTGATTGCTCCGAGTAAGACCAATCACAGTACATTTGTGTAATTGTCGCTAATCTTGTGTCAACAGATGGGGTCAGACATATATCCTAGAGGCTCTCATGTCCTATGTGCCACAAGAATCCGGAGAAGCGATACTCCTAGCGGAACGAATATCACCACGACTGTCGCATTCTAATTCGTCGGTCGTGTTGACCTGCATTCGGGTGATTCTGTATCTGATGAATTACATCGCCGATCAGAAGCAAATCTCGGCTCTCTGCAGGAAGCTCTCACCACCCCTGGTCACACTTCTCGCCAAGGGTCCTGAGGTTCAGTACCTCGCTCTGCGAAATGCTTTGTTGATTCTCCAGCGACGGCCGGAAGTGCTCCGAAATGATATCCGTGTCTTTTTCTGCAAGTACAACGATCCCATTTATGTCAAGGTTACAAAGCTGGAACTTATCTTCATGCTTGCCAACGAGGACAACATCGATGAGGTTTTGACGGAATTGCGAGAATACGCCACTGAAATTGATGTCCACTTCGTCCGTAAGGCAGTACGTGCTATCGGTAAGTTGGCAATTAAGATTGAGCCAGCTGCACGACGATGCATCAACTTGCTCCTCGAGCTTGTAGCAACCAAGATCACATATATTGTGCAAGAAGCCACGGTGGTTATCCGAAACATCTTCCGAAAGTACCCCAACCAATATGAATCCATCATCAGCACTCTTTGCGAGCATCTGGATTCTCTGGATGAACCGGAGGCCAAGGCAGCCATGGTTTGGGTCATTGGCCAATACGCAGATCGGATTGAGAACAGCGACGCCTTGCTAGAGGACTTCCTGTACTCGTTCGCAGAGGAGCCTGTCGAAGTGCAGCTGGCCTTACTCACAGCTACAGTAAAACTGTTCATCCAGCGACCTACCAAGGGTCAAGAATTGGTCCCCAAGGTTTTGAAGTGGGCAACTGAAGAGACGGATAATCCTGATCTTCGAGACCGAGCGTATATGTACTGGCGCTTGTTGTCTACAGATATGAATGCGGCGAAGCAGATCGTGATGGGAGAGAAACCAGCGATTACTGCTGAGTCAGAAAGACTGGATGCGACGACGCTAGAGGAGATGTGTCTGAACGTGGGAACTCTAGCAACAGTTTATTTGAAGCCGGTGCAGACTGTGTTTAGATCTGCTCGACCTCGTAAACTCCAGGACTCCCCCGCATTGCAGAAGCAAAACCTTCTTGTTGCTGCAGACAGCCAAAAGAGCATAAGCATGTTTGGCAACGCCGGAGCGGCAACAGATATTGATCCAAGAAGCCGAAACCCGACATCAGGCAATGGTCAAGGGGACCTCGCGCAAGCCGTCAACGACGCAGATGCCTACTTTTCAAGTATCGGAACGCAGCAGCAGATGCAACCGATGCATGATCAAGGGGATGATGTCTTTGGAGGAGGTAATGGCCACTCGACGGGATACGTGGTGAGCGCACATGCACCTCAAGCAGTTCTTCAACCAGCTCAGGGTGCTGGCAGCAATGGTGATTTGTTAGTGCTATAAGTGAGTGATACCTTTGTATACTAGCGATGGGAGGCATAGTCAGAAGCCAAGCCGTTTAAGCATGTCCGTATTAGGCAGGAATTTGTGATGGAACTTTGTGGGAGTACAGTCTGGCGGTGCGTCCAGCTCCATGATACGCCCAAGGGTTGCTTCATACTCGTATGAAGTTATTACATATTTTCATATTTACAACTGATGATAAAAGTTGAATTTTTCTCTACTTATGATACTCTAGGCATACTTTGTCACATTCATTCGAAGAATCTTAGCTCTTAGCACTGAGGCTATCTACAAATTTCTTCGTTACCCCATCTTTCTCACATTCTCGATTTGAAGGGAGGAATCTGCGGGTGACTGCTCCGGGGAACGGCGTAGACTCGATTCGGCTTGGCCCGATAACCTTATTCCAAATGCCAATTGGGGCAAAGCACATTAGCAGAGCCTACCATTGTATCCCATAACCTCCCCCGAGAGGTCACATCTGACCAGGGGGTTTTGAGGCGAAGTCTGGAGTACGCTAGATTGAGACTTGGCTTGCTGGTCTGGCCTGGTCTGGTCTATAAAGACAGTGGGGAGCGACATGTCGTTGATGAGTTGTAAGGACCTTCTGAATGTATGCAAGTGGGCGATTGCATGGTCTTGTGCGGGACATATCCGATGTATCGGTGTGTGAGCGGCCGTACTAGACCGTTGGAGAGGGTGTTCCTTGTGCCTTTTTCTCGTGCCTTTTTCTCGGTGGAACTTTGGGGATTCAGGAACAAGCTCCGAGGCGTACTGTACCAGTGATGAGATCTTGAGGGGTGCATGCCAGTTGAGGACCCTTAGATGTGCTGAACATGCAACTATTGGCTACAGCTTATGTTGGATTGGTTGGTAGGTAGAATACGATACGTTTCGTGTAAGTGGCTCGCTGATTCATGAAAACAGCCTAATAGTGTAAGCAGAAGAGCCAAACGAGTGATCCATCTAAGAGCCGCTGAAATACTATCGTAAATAATTCATCCGGTAGAGATTGGACGAAAGTTGTTCGTCATGTTTGTCCTACTAGGTAGTCATGAGTACTGGAAGTTTCCCATATTCAATAGCTTTCTCTTATTAGTCGAGATACAGTAAGTGTACCAAACAGAGGGCTTGCGCCGCTGGGTCATCTTTTCTGTTTGGTCTCCATAGGCTAAGTCGCCTGGAAGCGGCACAGCCGGCTTCCGTAGCCGCCACCTTTTCTACCTGACCTTCCAGTGGCTTTTACCTTATCACCCGCTGAGAATAAACTCCGTGTACTCCGTACAGCACGACATCTTGTTCAGATTGTCAACTGTATGTAAAAAGAAGAGAAAAAACATGAAATTCTTTAATGAATAGGCTCTTCATCTCTATAAGGGAGATAAATTAGACTATCAGGTTTTCTTACCTAGAAGCGTCATGTTCTGAGTGAATTCATTTGCTGAGGTACCTAGCGTTTTACTGACTTTGTTACTGCTTATGTACCTGCCCGACTCAGGTTGTAAGGTGGTAGCACCAGAGCAGGCAGGTACCTTCCCTTACATTTTACCAGTAAACCTAACCGAACGGAACTGAAGGCAACTGCCTCACCTCACCTCCCTACCTAAGGTAGGTACCTCACTAAGTTAGTCGTCCGTAGGTTGCGTCTGGTAGATTTGTTTGGCGAGTCACTTCCGTTGACTTTGTTTATCACGAGTCTTGCCATTCATTGTCTTGTTCACAAACAAAACGAGATCAAACACATAATGATTTCCTTCCATCCGATTCATTCTTATAACTGAATAACTAATACCTCCGACTGACACGAATTCATTCGCTGAACTTTTCTCAGTGAGCGCCAACATCTGCCTGCCAAGTACTAAGTTTACGGATCACGGATACAGCACTGTATTTGGTGTCGTCACCTCGGTCTGGGCTGGAACTTACCTTGTTTGGCTATCTTGGCTCTCTTACAGAGTACTGTATAGTAGGCTACTTTCTCGCATTCAGGATTTATCGTCTATCCCGTAACCGACTTTGCCGGCATTCTCAACGGCCTCGTTATCTCTGCCATCAATTGTGTGCCTCGAATCCGGCTTGGTCGAACTGATCGACAACAGCTGTAAACAAAGCAGCGCGGCTCCTTTCACTGCCGAGTCTCCCTGCCTGTCTCGGTCTGCAGCTCTGCCTGTTTCTCGTCATTGTCACTTTATCGTTTGCGACAATTGCAAGGGAGTCGTCTACCTACCTAGCTCAAGCCAAGCGCCCCCCCTCGTTCCCCGTACCCTGTCAGGCAAAGCGTCCAGCGACAGCGACACCACCAAGGACAAGAGAAGTCCACTCTGTTGCACCGTCCCTCACTCCACACAGGCTCCACGCTCCAGCCGCTGGCCGCCAGGGCTCCTTGGCTGCTTTGTTTTGCTTCGCTTGTTGATTCACTGTCTCCCCATCAGCTTGCCTCGGAGTACATACAGCGCTACACCACAAAGCGATTCACTGATACTACGTACTGCAGAACCGCGTTCCTCAACTCTGCCCTGCCTGGTTGTCGCGTTGCATTTGCATCTGCTTTATGTCTGAGCGTTTTATCTGAGTGGACGAGACTCCGGGCCATTCACTGCCCCACCCCCGGTCTTGCGGCCCCCGGCCTGGGCGATCCATCCTTAGCCATCTTCCCAGCGAACTTGACGTCTTTCACTTTTGCTCCCGAGACCTGGCCACGCTACGGATACCGACTACATTCATCCACATCTCCATTTCCATTTCCATCCACTTTCGCATTCCTCATTTTCATACCCATCTTTGATCCGACATCTTCAAATAGTCGCACAAATCGCATCAGATCGTATCAAATCGCACTGCTAGCGAACAAACCACTCGTTTACGCCGCTCTTCCTCTCGCGTTCTTCCATTTCTTGCGTGGTGTGACCTCAGATCACATCCTTACCGCGCCGCCATCACCCTTCACCCAGTATGTCGGCTCCAGCGGACTCCACCATGAGTGGTGGTAAGGCTGCGCCTGTTGAAACTTCACGGCTCGAACAGCCTAACGATGCGGTAGCCATGGAAAACATTGCCCAATCCTCCGAGCAGGCGCCCGCCGATCACGCCTCCGAACCCGCCGATAAGACCGTTTTAACTGAACCAGCACCGTCTACTGCTGCGCCAGCTACATCCGAGAACGCCGATAACTCAGCAGCCACTACTACAGCCTCATCGAAGGGAAAAGAGAAGGATACAGCTGCTCCTCCTCCACCGCCTACTAAGCAAGACTCGAATCTGGGAATCGGACCTGCTGTAGACGACATCAGAGAAATTTCAGGGGGCTCTTCCGACGGACCCGTTTGCAACATTACCCTTCTCCTTACTTCAGGAAGCCGACATCCGTACAAGATTGATGCCAAGTACTTGAGTCGGAGGAGCGTGGATATCCCAGACCAGACGGAGAGTGGCCTTCCGGATCCCTTCAGTATCAGCGTTTATACCCTCAAAGAATTGATATTGCGCGAATGGCGAAGTGATTGGGAGGCAAAACCAGCAAGTCCCAGCAGCATAAGACTCATTCATTTCGGAAAGCTCCTCGATGATAAGGAGCCATTGAAAAGTAAGGCTCGCCGTCAACCTGAGACAAGGAGCATCATTTGCTAACCACCCCATAGAATACCAACTTTCAACCGAGAGCCCCAATGTTGTACATATGAGTATTCGGCCACAAGATCTTGATGAGGAAGAACCCAAGGCGGGAAATAAGAACCTTTCATCGAGCGGTGGTGATGGCCAACGTTCACGGGACAGCAATTGCTGTATCATTTTATAAGTGAAGGCCGCTTTTTTTTACTACAGGCAACTTCCAGATTGCCTGTGCTCAACGCCTGCTCTCACGAAAAGGGCGAGGTCCAAAGACTCTCATGTACTCACTCAACGTTTTGAGTCGGCGGGGTCTTTTCAGCCACCGTAGTCTTCACGTTAGTTGATGAGCATTCGGGTGACACTCATTCATTCCTTAAAGCTTTTCCTTGGTTTATTGTATTTATCAGCAGAAGCGTATGACGATTCTGCTGTGTGGGAGACGGGGACACTGGAGTCTACATTGGCGTATCATTGCGTATTCTGAGTTATGGGTTTGGTTGTGTTTTGGTTGTGTAATCCTCTTCATCTTCGGCATATTTGTCGACGCGTTATCAATCACAGCGCATTCATAGCAGTATAGAAAGCATTTATGTTGCGATTGCATGGTCTCATCCATCTTCTCAGCAGAAGAACAGACGTTGGTTATCTTGGTCGTTAAGTTTCTTGAGCCTGTCTAAAGTGTTATTGTAATTATGGTATACAAGGAGATGGCTATGCCATCGTTTCCTTTGAGACAGCCAGCCGGCTTGTTTACTGGATCTTGAGCTTCTTTTCCATCTCATCGTGGAATCCAGCAACGGCTCTTGTCTCGTCGCCAGTGAAGACGTCCTCCCAGGTGATCGTAGCATCACGGCCCCTAAGAATATCCTCGTGGACGCTGGGGAGGCCATTGCCGAGGGCCATGGGCCGCCACTCGCCGTTCTGGACAATCTTGAGCTCCATGCCACGTCGAATAGGCTCAGCCATGCCATAGGTGCGTCGAAGCGTCTCCATCTTGAGAGCCTCCTGAGTAGCCTCCCAGTTCTTCAGGCGGGCTTCGAGGGGATGAGCAGAGGCGGGGGTGGACTTGGAGTCGAAGGGGGATGCGCCGACACCGTGGCGGAGAGTATCGTGGATGCCTGGGGCGGAGGGGGCGGAGGATGTGTGCGAGATGTGAGTGTAGGTCTGGGCGTTGGAGTTGCCGGGGACGATACGCATTGCTTGAGACTTTGGAGAGAAGGGTTAGCTCTTGGGATATAGAGGATGGATGGGTGCTGAAGCTTACCATTTTGAGGGATGTGGTTGTTGCTTGCAAGAAATGTAAGTCGTTAGATTCAGAACTTTGGTGAGTTTAAGGCCGATTTCGCAGGGGAGATGATGCGACGTTGATGGGTTGTAGATTTGATTGATAG